TTCCTGTCGCCTCTGATCTGAGCGGTAGCAGAATTTACTCACAAAACACCAATGTGACACAAGTCTCTGGCCTCTTATAAAGACATCCATGTTGGCCACATCAAGAGCGACTCAATCTGGGGGACTTGCGCCGATCGATAGTTGTTATAAAGACTTCAAAACGATTCAGAGTGCATAATGCCTGATAACATTACGTCCATTGTACAAAATATAGCAGTTCATTATCATATCACTCATATTCTATAGGCGACAAGGACTCACTCGTCACGACCAAAGATTACGACTAGGGCGAGAGAACCCTACGAACCCATCGGACGAGAGTTTAATGTCCTAACCATGCTTAGCGGGAGACAGGTACAATCGATGGCAAAAAGGACGAAGGGTCCTTTGTCTGCTAAAGCGCTTCGTTCTTTTGAACCTCCTGTGATAAATACGTTACCCAACAAACGCCAACAAGTGCATATCTCATGTTGGCGCAATAAATTTTTCAAGTAGGACAACCGCTTCGCCCTAATCTTACCAATATATACATATATCTATATATGTAAGGCATCATGCTTATCTACGTTAATAGAGTCTATCAATAAACGTTATATAAATTGTAGTTGAGTTGTAGCTCAATGAGTTGTAGCTGCGCAACTGGAACAGAGCGCTAAAATACATTTTCATTATGTTAACACATTCTCGACGTATTGTTTGCATACGTCCCTTACAACCTACGCCATCTATTCATTGAATTTCGACATGTTACACATAATTGAAACGCATTCGTCTGGATCTATTTAGAATCAGTCACCATAGCTATGTCAGCTCGTCAGAGAAGCACGTCCACCGAATCTGGAACGTATGCGTTCAGTGCAAAGCAACAGTTATATAGACGCCGACAGCCTGCCTACTGACCCAACCCAAATCATATAGATTCGGTGTTATCGTCACTGGGTCGTGTTTGTCTCTTTTTGATTGACCCACCCAGTCAAGGTTAATTTTCTGATTAATGGGACATAGCGGGTCATTGGCTTGCAAAGCTATAACTTCGAGTTAGTAGCCTACACCTGCTCATAGCGTGTGAAAGTTCAAGTAAATAAACAATGCTTCTGTATATAGTACATTTAAAATATTCCTCACTGATTAGCAGGAGAAGAATATAGATAACTGTAAGAAGAGCGGGAACCAAGGCTGCTAGCTGATTGTGTGACAATCGCTAGTTGACACTGGTAAATCTCAACACAGTTGAATATAAAAGAAGCCAGTGGTGGATTTTAGCACGCCCAAACGAATACGCTGGTACCTTAATATAGTTCCAGTCTTATCACTATGACATATTAATTGATTACTATCACAAGTGTTAAAAGCCTCTAACATCTACATATGCCAAATGGGATTTAAGTGCTTACCAAGCACGTTTTCGTCCATCCAAAATCCATCGTTATTCAACCTATGAAAACTGAAGATCTGCGCTGTCATAGTGTCAGGATACTGTCTTGCCTTAGCTACGATGAATTTGACATAGAAGCGAACGTTCCGAACTTTACGTATGGAAAGGCGTCAGTATCTGAGGTAATTCGTTAGCTTGACTGACATTCAATGAAGCGAATATGCACCTGGTCTCGAACCTGAACTTCATTGTGTGTCCCCGAAGCCTAGTACGAAGCTCACGCGTTCTGACTGTAGCTGATGATCACATTCGTCTTCATATCGTCTCTTCTTTCTTTTCGCGAAAAGTTCAGAGAAATACAGCTTGTTTGGTAGATAGGCCGACGCCAATGAATGAAGTTACAAGCTTCAAATCATACGTTATAAACTACGTATTTGTTATACGTGAACAACTCAAGCTGAATGAGGTGGGCGCAGAAGATAAAAGGTGCTACGGCTGATCGTCATCAGGCGCTATAAATTCTTTGGCTTTTTAGATGACTTTAGCACTTAAAGATGACTCTTTAGGTGAATGATAGACGTCTTCGCGCAGCATTATTAACTGTGAAGAGTGGAACTGGAAGCGTTTACGGTAATAGACGTGTATACTAACTAGCTTCGTTTTCTGTTCACAGAAGCTGCCCTCTGCCGATTGACAGTCGCAAATCAATATACATATATGTACAGGTGACCGTGAATGTCGATGTAAAACGTACGGCTCGGTTCATTACTAACAGTATCGATGCTATCGTCCATTTTTGTTGTCGTTGTGTGTTATTGACACGAGGTTGTTGTTGTTGTTGTTGTTGTTGATGGCACATTTACCGCGCATAAGCAGGCTCAGTCACCTGACATTTGGTCTGAGGGTCCCTCAAGACCCTCCCTCAAGAAGGCAGCTTCAACTACTTTCAACAGCCATGACAAGTTGAAGCCGTCGATTTGGAACGATCAACTATCGTTCAACTTATTCTTATCACTGCACCTGTGAATGATTATAACTATATAAACTAGTACGTCTTTCGACAATGGATAAGCACATTGTCAAGATCGAAACACTGACTGTGCAATGGAGTCGATTGAGGGACCCTGTCTAGAACCGTATCCGTTCACTACGAACTCATATACATTCTCATGAACTGATCGTGCATGAAATAGTGAGTGGGCGGGCATTCTTGCCTATCTACCAACTTAGTAACTACCATCAGTAACTACTGATTCAGCATTTCTGTGGCTCTATGCGAACAGTTTCATAAGTACGCAGCTATGGCTGTTACTTGTTGAGACAACGATTATGACCAATTACGAGATTGTTCCCACCAGTGACCCTGTTCGACTGGCAGCGGATCCGAGATGAAGCTGAAGATTATTCAGCCATCCGAAACTGATCTAGTTGCCGCTTGTGCCGTCCTCTTCTCGCTTTTCTGCCCTATCAGCAACAGAATAGTAGTACAGTATGTGATGAAGCTTGTCTGAGCAATGAGCGAGGGGATGCACCACAGGGTGCGTGCAGGAGGTTGCAGTTACTGAACTTACTAGGAATTACGGCGGAGCAGGCGAAGGGAAAGCAATCGAGCGTTCACTTCATAATGACGAGTCAAGAAAACGTTTTATCGAATGCGGTTGGACTGTAGTATTTTACGTAGATGGCACTTACAGCACAGACACCATTAGACGACCGCTGGATGGCCAGCTACCACGTAACCAACTACAAGTTACGACTGTCGCCTGTCTCCGTCGGTGTCCTACGGAAGGCGAAGACACGGCGAGCAGCAGCAGCAGCAGCGTGGCGTTGACGCTACGGCCATAACTAACGACGTGTGAGTTATTACCGTATGCGCTTACGAGCAAACGCCGCCATCGCAGCAGCAGCAGTCGCAGAGTCACAGTTAACAGGAGCACGAGCGCGTAGAAACAAGCTGGATTGGGAAGAGCCCAAACAATGGCCCTACTCGTTGAATCGTCACCCGGCGGATAATCGTGCCGCACGACCGAGCATCGCGTACAACACCGACAACAGTAGCAATGTGGTGATTGTCTACGTTGTGATGGCAATATGGCCTAGCAGATAGGCCAGGCACACCGAGTTGTTCAGACGGCAGACAAACATACTCAAGCCTACACAATAGACCGCTTCAGAAATAAAAGCGCAACAACGAACTGTCTGAGAACTAGAAAGAGAGAGAGGATTTCAACAATGCAAAGATAGTCAATTAACAGATACGCACACCCATAGGATATAGGCACAAACACATCTTTAGGCGCAATATTTGAAAGTATATTATCGCCCTGATTTTAGTTCTGACATCGTGCAGACAAAAGTAGCTCGTTCTATCGAGCTCTGCTCTTGACAACGTAGGCATGGGTCGTTCATTTATGTACATGCGGCCCGCAGCGATAGCAGGCGAGATGTACAAGTCAGGGCGGACGCGTACAACGCCTACCGAAATCGTATTTGTTAGCCATATACTCTGCTGAGTTGGTTCTTTTTGTATAGGTTGCTTATCTTCAATACTCGGCACTTTTCGGGCCAACGCTAAGACTACTCCTACGTGTCAGGTTTTCTTAAGATATACTTCTGTCTACGGTTCGCGCGCCCTGCGGTGGCTCCAGCCGAAACGAGGTCCGCGAGTTTGTTCTCAAATACCTCACGGTCTGAAGCGTGTATAATACCTCAAATATTATATATGATACAAAAACTGTTCTACTAAAAAGGGGTTATGAGACAATTAAGGTGGTTTTGTTTGTTGGTTCGACGGACCACAAATACAGGTGGATTATACAGACGAATGATTTTCAACGATGACAATCGCCACTTCTCAAATAGCTGAATTAAACTCGACTTTTTCCTCGAACTATGCAAAAATTTCTAAGTTTGTCATCGAAAAGTATTAAATAGTCGAGTAGTAGTTTCAACACTATGTTGGAGGTCGGTAAGTATCATCATCCAATTTGCTACATCGTTGAGAAACATGTTATGCACATCTTAAAGCAGATGAACGTCTTTTTAGTACCACAGCATGTTTATCTCGTATCGTTATTTTTGCACTAAAAGCACCCTGAGAACCAAGCTATTAGCCACATCCATAACATGGTCTTAAACCTTTACTCGCCTACCAAACGTAATTCCCAACTCTTTATGCGTAGCTGCTTCCTGAATAGCCCGCTGACCTAAGCAGTACACCGCGTTCTCAGGAACGGTCCTTAGGACAACCCGTTTCGGAACTGATATCTTCACTTGATATCGATAGGGGAAAAAGGATTATGTAGTTCTCTGGTCGTATGCTTCTTTAGTTAATGATATTAACAGTATGAAATAGTTCGTTGGCAGGACTCGAACCAGCAACCCCTAATTTTTTTTTAGCTAGAAGTTTGGCTGCTTAATCTATCTTTGAAAAAAAAACACCCAATGTTTCGAATGCCTCATTCGTCTTTCGAATACAGAGGACTGATATTTTAGATATTTCGCCTACGGATCAATAAGACACTTTCGCTAAAACCAAAAGTAGAGTTTATAGCCGAACTCTCTGTGAGGGCATGCGCTCGTTCAACTTCTAACAAATTTGGTATTTGAAATCGCGCCTAATTACCTCCAAGGTGGCCATGCATCATAGCTGGAAAGGTGGGAGCGGATCCTCGCGTGTCCACCTGTGGGAAGAGTTTCAAAAACGGGTTGGCCGCCGTGGAGTCACTCTGTGGCCTTCCGTTGTCCTGTCCTTGACTCCGTTCGCGCTTCACGGGGCTGGGGCTAGGGGAACGTGAAAGCCGTGTCACGGAGGCATCAGGAGAACTGCGGACGTCATCCACATCTTCAGGAATCTCAGTCTTTATCGGAGCTGCGGGAGAACCAGAGCGAACAGATAGGTCCATCACGAATGAACGAAGGACTGCAAAAGCGACAACAACAGTTGATATTAGGAGGCGGTTTGGAAAAGGTGTTCATGTTGTTGATAAAAGTCGTTAATCATTAGGTCACAAGAACTGCTGATAACAAGCATAATATGACGCTATATACTTCTACACTGAAATTTATCAAAAAAAAATCTAAGCTGATTTACACCTTATTATTTTGTTCAACTTGTAGATAGGCATTCAACTTGCAAATTTTGCGTCGAAATTTAATTATATGCACTTTTCATGCCTGATTACTCTTGGCAACATGCTAGGCCGTCAGATGCAATAACTGTGCAGATAAATTCCCGCCCTAAGGTAAGGTGGCCAATATGACAGACCACCTATAATTATTATTAGTATTATAGGAGAGTTTTTCTAAAGTGTGATATTGGCATTTACAATCTAAAATGTTTGAAATCTTAAGCTTCAAAGCTTTGGGGGGGCTGCGCGACCTGGTGGTCACAGCCGAAAAAGCACGATGAGCTTATCGGTCCTTGTCTTTTTTCGATGGCCGAATCGCCTATCCCCAGGGATTTCAGGATCCGGATAACCACAGCGATTCGTCTCGCTTCATCGTGGTGTTCTATTTGACGGTCCTTCCTAACAGTCAGACAATAATTTACCGCACATGCTCAGGTTGTAGCTAACGCATTGAAGAGGTAGTAAGGACAAGCAAGTTCCGGGTGAATTACGAGCTCAATAACGGCCTACAACCCATAATTGTAACACAGCTTGTCTGCACATCAAAAGGTCACCATTCGACCTCAGCCATGACCAGTCACCATACATATCTACGCATCGTGTACTATATACATGTACGACGCCTATCTTTCTGTTTATCTGGCTGATCTATCTTTGTTTTTGCTTTTTATTCTGCTAGCGTGTCCTAAATGTAGTACGTATGTTGCGGACGGATATGTTCGTCACTGGCGTTCTTGTATCCACGTGACAACAGTTTGGATGACTGTTTGAGTGCGGTCAGTGTGATCGCGAGTTGGTTTTTACGCCTTTTAGTCGAACGGGGTAATCGTGAGTACCTGGCCGGATGAGAACGTACGTAAGCAGGCACCGGGAAGGCTACAGACTTGCTGGCATCAATCAACGGGCCGCGTCGGGAAGGCCAAATTGCGTCGACGGTACCGCCTCTATACCATTCAAGGATTCGCGTGGGTTGGAAGGGTTTCGTTCGCGATAGATATCGATGCTATCAAATATTACCTACCGTATTTAGCAGCTGGTATAGCAATCGTCAAATAGCAGATGCAGACATAGACAAGAGCGCATTGCCGCAGGGCCGAATGACACCGGTTAGTTCATTAAAAGATAGGCTACTAATCTATATAACCAACAATGTGCGTCTAAGAAAATAAACGACCAATGTAAAGAAGTCTTAGAAGATCCTATAAAGTAGCATAGTACCAGTGCTTCTCACATCTTGTTTCATTTAGTGCACAAATCTATAGCCTACCTTCTTCGGGTATTCGTTATAAATTAATACGAACAATGTGCGCGGATCCATCTAAACGTACCCTGACATGGGTTTCGTGGACAACTGGGAATTTTATGAGTAAGTGCTCAGTTGTCGAACAGGAACTTTGCAGTTCTTCTAATGCTACGGATACGCCGCGAACGGGCAAGGAGCGTATTTCCGTAAAATTATAGGTATTACAGGAATAGTAGTATGGTTATTGTTATTTGTAATAATAATAATAATGCAAATACCCAACAAGTAACCCGCTTACCAATGCAAGCCGGATAGTATTATCGGGACAACAGCAAAAGGTTACCTGGCTACCTTCAAAAGAGCTTTTGGCTACAATGGCTTTTTTTGTTGCTACGGCAGTTGGACCTGTCGAACATCGATTACATAACGGTGCCTCCTCCTCAAGTTTCTTGAACTACGTGCCTTAATGGCCTAGCAGAAGTAGCGCCTTAAGAGCTGGATTTGTGTGCGCCTGCTTGTCCATCCCACCGAATTAATGGTAAGCTCCTCTATTCATCCTACCGAATTAGCACGCTTATTCGCTTAGTTCAAAGATTCATTGTCGATCATTATTGATCGATCGCCATTACACTCTGCCCCTTCTCCTACGCGCCGTGTCCCCTCGAGCCAGCAGCTACACATAATCATGTGCATCGTCAGCGAGCCAGCAATGCAGCATGTATAGTGAAGATACAAGAACCATGCACTGGGGCGTCACGATACATGGGAAGACTTGTCAGTTATCAAACTGGGGAAAAGAACCTGCACAAATCCTGCGCAGTTGCAAAAATCGCAAGGATTATCGGGGCCCGTTAGCACACACATCAGATACATTTTCAATGCAGCCAGACATCGACCCCTATATACGAGTGTCCTTTTCCTGACTGTGGTCCTAACTGTGCGCTCAAATTCAAGATATCGCATATGTTCGAAGCCCACTTACTTCATCGAAGGTGGATACAGATTTGTCTCGAGACGTCACGCTGCCTTTGATAAATCAGAGCATTGCGTCACGATCATCATTTCTTCATGAAAATACATTTTAGATATCGATTATAGAAAGCCAGAACAATGGATAAGACACTACTCTGTCTGTTTTATACAGTGATTCCATTCGATTCTTCTAGTAATTGTGAGGTCTGATGATAATAAAGCGAGTTAATGGCGCATAAAAAAAATTGCACCCTCACACTAACAATGTCCGCATATCTGTGCTATAATATAATTCACAATGATCTATTGCGTAATTCATAAATGGATATCTGTACCCATCATTTATTAAGTCTATGCTACTTTATACACTCATGTTAATTACTGGTACGGAAGAAATGTAAAAGAAATAACCGAAATTATATATGGATACAGGGGAGGTATGTAAAATTATACACCTGACGTCCAAAGTACACCGGAATCATCATTCTTAGCTTATAACAATAACTCCTTTCTTTTTCCAATTGCAGTCAATGCATCATTGCAATGCAAGCTTACAGTATATATACGCTCGAGTCAAGTGACGGCGATGACTGCTGAATCTCGCTTTAGTCTCTAACAAACGCGAAAAAATTACCAGAAAGAACACATGTGCATCTGCCTGTGGTTGTGCTTCATCCAAGCAATATCTATTGTACACGGCCCAAGGCCGTTTGGAGCTCGCCGTCTAATTACGACACGGATAACACGGCAAGACTGTTATACTATAGCATATACTAGAACTGATACTACCTTGCGATTACCTGCTGCTACGACAATTTGCTCGTATACTCATTATTATTTGAAGAAATTAAATAGTTATTAGATCACTATCATCAATTGCGCTTTGAATGTACAGTGAGTTAGCTTCCTGTCGAGATTCAGCTCGAAATAGCCGATCCTTGTCTTCACCTGAAGGCGTTCAAAAAAACCGTCACGAACGCTCATCTTCTCGAAGACGAGACGTTTGTCATTTATTGATATCGAAACTGAGTGGTCCTGATGCTCACGACTGCCGACTCAGTAGTTCTCGTTTGAAAAATGCAGCACCATATAAGAAGCATCTATAAAGAGGCTGTCACGGTTTAGACCACTGTATTTCACCCGATTTTTATTAATAGGCTCATTAAGCTGTACAGTTAATTCATCTTTGCTTGTAGCATTTGTTATGGCATCACGTTTACTCGTAAGTGGAAACGCGTCTCCATAGAGCCTCCCAAAACACGCACATACATACCACCATATGGTACAATATAACCTTGTTCTTCCTAAAAGGCCTCTCCGGAAGCATCCTCGCGAGCACCTGCTGCACCCGGCTGTAACAAATAATGCATGAAAATACTATTATTGCCATTTGATTGCTAATAGCGCCGCGACACTGACGACCAAAACGTTGATCCCTTATAGTGACACCTTCGTCCTGAGAACAAGGCGTCAATGTGCCGTCTCTGCATTAAGCATCGTACGCCGCAATGAGCTTGGCAGGGCCTATCTACCGACTCACTCAGTTAAAGTTTCATCCTCAATTGCCACTATTTAACACTAAGCACTTGGAGGCTTCTGATTCGTCGTCGTTTGGCCATCGTCAGCTTAGGCCGTTGCTTTAACACTGGCAAAATTTGGTGGCCATTTGGCGCTGGCGACGACGGTCGCGGCGCTGGCTCTATCATAAACGATTACATAGGCGTAGAGTTCTTCAAGTCGAAGTGATAAAGACAACTTCATCTTTTTCTATCGTCTTTCCCTCTTCCTTTAGTGTTCTATTGGGGCTGTCGGGCTTATTCGCTGGTATCTCTGAAAAGGCCGCCGATGCTTCACAGTCGCTCTAGCAACTCGTCCGCGGTTTTTGCTATTTTTTTCTTTCGTGCTTTTTTTCGGCATCGTCGAGTTATCGACGTTTGCGTGAACAATAACTCGCCGCCTGCACGCCACGCTTGTGACGGTCACTGGTCTGGCTCGAGCTGACGGCCAGAACGAGCTGCCGACCGAGAGACCAAGCACAGCTGATGGTGAACGATCGGGAGTGCCGCCGCGGCGGCTGTTGCTGCTCCTTGTCGATCCTCCGTCATCCACTTCAGGAATACCGTAGCGCCGACGTCAGAGAATTGACTGAACGAAAAACGACGAAAAAAACGAAGCGTGTGTGTGCGTGTATGGCTTCTACAGATTTGGTGGAGCCAAATCGGCCAACGCAGGCACTAACATCACACATCGCCACCGCCACCGCGGCCAGTAACAAAATCAGCGCATATAGAACGAGAGGCTCGCGCAGTAAAGTCGGACGCTACTGCGGGCCTATTTTACCTTTGCCGCCGCCGTCGCCGCTGCTATGACTTCAGCAGCATTGGCCGCTACTGGCCAAGGATACATTGACTCTTGGCTATACAGAGTGAACTGACGTTGGTCCGACGGACATTACTTGGCTGTCGGCATGTTATCTGGCCAACACTGAACAGCCACTGAAACCAATTTACGACAGTAAATAGGCGATCGTAGACACAGAGAGAACATATCGACCGCGCTTCATGAGCAACTATGGTC